CATTCTGATTCATTAAAATGGTTTTCACTCTGGTCCTAATTAGGACAGAGCTCATTCTTGTGCCAAATGAAAGGCCTCAAGTGGGCCTTTCATTTGATATGCCAGTAACAATATTATTGGACACCTTCACAATGTGACCTTAAACTCTGACTTGAATTCAGGGAAAAAGTATAGCCAGATTTATGCAAGTATTTTAAAGAACATTTTGTGATTCTTAAGTATGTTTAAAGAAAATCTTATGTTGGGACGAGGGGCGTTGATGAGATATGTATTTGTTTATAAACATACGTTACGTGCAAATTGTTGTCGATGACTTCGATTAAAGATTATTGTGACCTAAATGGGCAATATAACATTAATAAGAAAGACAAGGAAGAAACCTGGCAAGCTTATCTATTAAAATATTAAAAGTAGTGTCCAGTTAAGTATGAAAATAAAATGTCTGGTGGTGAAGGATATATGAATGACTTCCTGGGGTCAGAGGGATGCAAAAAATGTTGCTTGAATTTCGCTGTCATTCATTTGTAACACACACATAAGCCACCACTTGCTGTCACATTTGCAAGTTACAAATCCTATTATGTCCTCTTCATCTTGCAAGAGTACTGTATGTGTGGTACTGACATTTGCCTCTGAAAACGCTTTTGTCTGAGCTTTGTTTTTTTGAGCCTGGACTGACACAATGTATTTTCATGAGTATCTGGAAGGGTTTAAGCTTTCTTGAACCTCTCTTCAAGCATCATCATTTCTTTGCTGGTCTTCACAATAAAATACTCATAGGTGACTGGAAGAAAGTTTAGAATAGGCCTATCATTTAAGTTGTAAGATTTGAGGTTTTCATGGCGGCGACGATGTGGTGTTAACACCACATCTACACGGTGCCACATCCCAGAAGACTGCTTTCTTCACAATCATTAAGTTGTTTTGGCATCATGATCTGCTCCTTGTAAGGGTATTACAGGTTTACTTTTCTTACTAGTCTTCAATTGTTCTACCAGGCCTACCACATGCACCTTCATCAAGTGACGATATAAAGAAGGTTCACTCAGTGACCACACCAGTTATTTGTTGACATCAGCCATTAATGAACTTTTCCTATTTTTATACTGTGAGGCAGCACTATTAGTGATTGAGGTTAGCTCTTTCTTAGGGACACAACTGAATAGGTGTCTTTCCCCTCACTCCCCTGAGGTTGGAAACAGGTCCAGTTTAAAAAATGTCATGTTTTCTATTTTCTAAAACTCCAGACAATGAAAAAGTCCAAAAAACCAGTAATTCTGAGTACTGGCATGTAACGTGGTATTCCACAAATCATTCATGCAACACACATCATGAACACTACACAAGAAATTTTAACATCATATTCCACAATCTCAATACAGTAAAACTTGGTTATAGCAACATCGGTTTCTGCGACACCTTGTCTATTGCGTCAAATATTCAATGGTACGAACTAATTCCTCATAAAGCAACTGTTTTTATACCTTGCTTAGTACGACATGCACAAATGCATCAACCTCGTATGTAACGTCATTTTCATTCCTGAATTTCTCTGATATGGACATTGAACGTAATTTAGAAAGTGTGTATTGGGCAAGTAACAGGAAACAGATGAAGATAACTGATTACTGTACTCGTATCTAGGTACAGTAAGGCACAACAATTGATGTAATCTACTGTAATTTGGTGAGTAGGCCTACCTTTAATATACAGTATTAGTGCGGTGTGTAATGTCAGTTAAAAGCGCTGTAATATGTCTTTGATATTACACATTTGGGCAATTCCACGTTAATGTTACGTTAGTCTGTACTTAACTACGTATTTCCCTAAAAAATGCAACATTTTAACTCGGTTTTGGTAGATTTTTACGTGACTAACATAAGGCTACTGTGGAAGTGCCCAATTCGGTTACAACGACATTCGTTTATAACGACACTATTTTTAGGTCCCTTTGATGACGTTATAACCGAGTTCTACTGTAGTTGTTTTAAGATTTTCATATTTTGTTTTAATTGTACAACTTTAAATTTTATTCCCAAGGCTTTATTTCGTAATATAACATCTTTGCAACATGCCTGTTGCCTTCAATAAACATTACATCCTAATATTTTAATACAATTATTTTGTATACTCTTAATATATGAATAAGTTAATATTGCAATTCTCATATTTCTAATACAGGCTTAAGCTCATAATATGAACATGCTTCACTAAATATGGATCCATATTTTGGACTTCAAATAACTTTAGTTGTACTATCATAATACTGCCTGATGATGGTCCCATGAGGACTGAACTGATTGGTTGGAAAATAAAATGTAATCTGAGTATTGATTAATTATAACCATGTTTGTTGTCTTGACAGTAACCTTACCTTGCCACATGTATATGA